TTTTTTTTTTTGAGCAGCAGGCAAAAGTTTATTAGAATACAAGATTAGAAAGGAAGACTAGTAGGAAAGCTCTCACTCTCTTTCCAGAGAGGGGACATTCGAAAGTGAATGCCCCTAAAACTCATTTCTTTTTAAGTACTGAATAATATTCCATTGGCTGGATGTACCACAGTTTCTCTGTTCATCCATTAAAGGACATCTTTGTCATTTTTAAGTTTTGGCAGTTATAAATAAAGCTGCTGTAAATATCTGTGTGCAGGTTTTTGTGTGGATCAGAGGTTTGAACTCCTTTGGGTAAAATGCTAAGGAGGGCAATGGCTGCCTTGTATGGTAAGATTATGTTTAATAGAAGAAAGTGCCAAACTGTCTTCCAAAGTGACTGTCCCGTTTTACATTCCCATCGGCAATGTAGGAGAGTTCCCCTTGTTCCATGTGCTCACTAACATTGGGTGTTGTCAGTGTTCCAGGTTTTTGTCATTCTACTAGGTGTGTGGTGGTATTTTACTGTTGTTTTAGTCTGCATTTCTCTGATGACGCATGATGTGGGGCATCATTTCATATGCTTATTTACCATCTGTCTGTCTTCTCTGGTGAGCATCTGTTAAAGCTCTTTGGCCCATTTTTTAATCAGATTGTTTGTTTTCTTGCTGTTGAGTTGTTAGGGGTTTTTGTATATTTTGCCAAACACACTTTTATCACGTGTGTCTTTTTGCAAAAATATTTTCTTACAGTCTGTGGCTTGTCTTCTAATTCTCTTGATACTGTTTTTCTCATGCACTTTTCTTAGCAACTGTCATTTATTACTTCATGTCAGTGATTGAGGGTTTAGACAACAATGCAGGCATGGTGAAGTTACTTACCCAAGGTTACACAGCCAATGATTGGACAGAGCCAGGCTGTCTGACTCCAGGGCCCATGCAATTCTGACAAGTTAGTCCTTCTGTTAGTGTGGACAGCTAGGATGTGTTTTCAAGACATACAATTGTTGTGTTCCTTGGACAAAAGAAATAGTTTTATGCTACATTTTCTTGGGGTAGAATGAATTTTAAATACAACACTTGCCATCCACTGCTTCTGGGGAAGAACTTTGTAGCAATGATAATAACATTAACAATAGCTAACACTAACATAGCATTTTCTGTGTGTTAGCCATTGTTCTAAGTTCCCTACCCATGTTAACTAATTTAATTCTCACAGCAACTGAGGTGAATATTATTATTATTATTATTATTATTATTATCATCATCCCCATTACCGACAAAGAACCCCAGGCAGAGTAGGGAACCCCTTTCTTTCAAAGTGATCAGCTAATAGAGAGTAAGTGGGAGAGCTGCTTTTAGTCTACACTGTCAACCACTATATTATAATGAGAATCATAAGAGATCTTGCCTGTATGCTTTGTGTACTTTCTGATTGTCTTACTTTTGTAATTTATTTGGATTATTTGTGTTTTTTCTTAAATTCTGCTTGACAGAGGGTCGACTAGAGGTGTTCCAAGGGGAGAGATTGCTGTCATCCATCCCTATGTGGACCACGTTTGGGGAGCTAGCCATTTTATACAACTGTACAAGAACTGCCTCTGTGAAAGGTAACGGGATGAAAGGCTCTATTTTTGAATCGTTACACAATGTTTATGACAATCTAAGTCACTACTATTGCCTGCTGAGTATTTCTGTCTCCCATTGTGCCCCATGTGCTCTTGTTAACAGAAATGCTATGCTTACAAAAGAATTTATATTGAAGCACTTGTCTAAATAATTCAAATTCAAGAGAACTTTTCCTTCAGGTACCTGCATATGAAATATGAAAATGGCTTTATATTACTGAATTATTCCAATATTTGCTTTAATTACCACTTCGCTTTTTTTTCTGTGTAAACATCTGCCTTTGGTTCATCCAGAATGTTAGCTTTTCATTCTCTGTGATGTTCCAAACATATTATAAACCAGAAAAATTAATGAAACCAATGAAAATATATAAATAGCCAAAGGGAGGTGAATTAATTAATGAGAGTTTTCCTGAGTGACTCCTGGGATTAGTTTAAGGGTTCTTGTTTTTATTGACATTATTCATGGTTATCTTGGGCATGAATACTTAGATGTGTTTCTCAGTGTTTAGGACTAGGTTAAGTGTCTCAGAATTGCTGCAGTTTTGATTAAAAAATGCAGATTCTGGGGCTTCACTCCAAACACAAATCAGAATCTCTGGCAATTGAGCTTAAGGATCTGAATTTTTTTTAAGTTTTTTTTTAATGTTTATTTATTTTTTAGGAGGGGAGGGACAGAGAGGGAGGGGGACAAAAATCTGAAGCAGGCTCCAGGCTCCAAGCTATCAGCACAGAGCCCAATGCAGGGCTTGAACTCACAAACTGTGAGATCATGACCTGAGCCGAAGTCAGATGCTTAACCTATTGAGCCACCCAGGTGCCCTGTATGGATTTGTATTTTTAACAAGAATGTCAAGATAAATCTAATTCATTCCAAAATTTAGTAAACCAAAGCTTTGGATTTTGATTTATATTATAGGCCCTCATTACTTCTTCTTTTTTTTTTTTTTTAAATACAATTGTAACTTCATCTAGATTTTTTTAGAGCTGCTACTTCTGCTCTTCTTCCTGTTTAGATTTTATTCTTGCTTTCTATGTCTTTCCTATAAAAAAAATTGTCTCAAACACTGTTTTGCATAATTTCTATGAAAATGATTTGTATGTACTTTATACAAAAGTAACCATAGAGATCCTTAAAAATGTATTGGCTCTCGTTAGCTACAATGTCTGAACAGCATAAAAATACATAAAAACATACTCATACACTCAGATCTTTAACTTTCAATTATCTACTTGTGAATTCTTCACTTTCTGGATTAGCTACAGGCTGGCTGGTTTTCTCTTGTATCACAGCACAAATCTGAAATACATCCTGATGATGTAGTATGTAATTAGGAATTGCAAACTAATTTTGATATCATCCTAAGCAAAACATAATTAGAAAGGAAATCTTTTGCTACTCACTTCCAAATCATGGTTCATTTCAAAGCCAAAGATGATTTTATAAAATTACCCACTATTTATATCACTGCTTCCTTCCATTTGCATGTTAAATAATGCAATTTCCAAGAAATATCATTTGATGAGAATATATGAAAAATTTATCAATTAACATTTTGGACTGTTTTCTTAATGTGGGGCTAAACAATATTTTATTATTTTCTTGATTTTTCTAAAGCTATTACCAATGTTAAAACTTGGGCACTAGATCGAGAGGTATTCCAGAATATAATGAGAAGGACAGCTCAAGCTAGAGATGAACAGTACAGAAACTTCCTCAGAAGGTAAGAATAACACATTGTTGGAAAGAGTAGAAGATGGTGTAGTTATATTGTGGATATGTTGGTTTTATCACAATAATTACTTTACTAGAGCTTTCCTCATTTAAGCAATTTCCACATGACTAAACCAAAGGAACAAAAGTATTCCCTTGCAGTAAAGGCCACTACATTAAAAAAATATATACTTAATTCCAATTAGCCTTGCACACTGATTTATTTATCTTTCACTAATTTTGCCCTTGTATTGATGGAGTCCTTGTATATAGTATAGAAAAATGTGTAAAAAGTCTTAAAATATTCATCTGGGTTGCTCAGTTGACTTTGAAAGATAGCCTGTAATTTGGAAGTGGATAGCGAAAGATCATCTTTCTAATAATGCTTTGCTTAGACTAATATTAAAATTAATTTATTTTGCTATCTTTAATTGCTTTACCTGAGACATTATCTTTCTCATTTATATAACCACACCATCTTCCAAATTACTATTAATTGTAACAAATTAACTTGCCAGAAATGTCACTGTGTGTGTCTTGATGACACAGATCCTTGGAACATATTTTGTGACCTATTCTGTGCCCCCAACAACTTGGGTATATCAATTTAGAAAGAAACAAATACCTATCTAACTGAAAAAATCAGTTATGCATATACAAAGTTTGTTTGTTTTTTTTGGAGAATATACATTCTTTTTTTTAATTAATTTTTTTAACGTTTTTTATTTATTTTTGAGACAGAGAGAG